TAGAATAGAATAGAATAGAATAGAATAGAATAGAATAGAATAGAATACTTTATTGCCAAGTGTGATTGGACACACAAGGAATTTGTCTTGGTGCAAATACTCTCAGTATACATAAAGAATCTAAGAATCAAGAATCATAACGTACAACACTTAATGATAGTCATAGGGTACAATCAACAATCAAATCATACTAGGAAACAGTCAATATAAATTGTACGGATACAAGCAACAAAGTTACAGTCCTACAATCATAAGTGGGAGGGGATGGGTGATAAGGAATGATGAGAAGATTAACAGTAATAGTAGTGTACACTTTGTAAATAGTTGAAGAGTGTTGAGGGAATTATTTGTTTAGCAGAGTGATGGCTTTCGGGAAAAAACTGTTCTTGTGTCTAGTTGTTCTGGTGTGCAGTGCTCTATAGCATTGTTTTGAGGGAAGGAGTTGAAACAGTTTATGTCCGGGATGTGAGGGGTCTGTAAATATTTTCACAGCCCTCTTTTTGACTTGTGCAGTATACAGGTCCTCAATTGAAGGCAGGTGGGCAGTAATTGTTTTTTCTGCAGTCCTAATTATCTCTGAAGTCTGTGTCTTTTCTGTTGGGTTGCAGAACCAAACCAGACAGTTATCGAGGTGCAGATGATAGACTCAATAATTCCTCTGTAAAACTGTATCAGCAGCTCCTTGGGCAGTTTGAGCTTTCTGAGTTGGCGCAGAAAGAACATTCTTTGTTGTGCTTTTTTGATGATGTTTTTGATGTTAGGTGTCCATTTTAGGTCATGTGATATAGTAGAACCTAGAAATTTGAAGGTCTCTACTGTTGATACTGTGTTGTCTAGTATTGTAAGAGGTGGTAGTATGGGAGGGTTTCTTCTAAAGTCTACCACCATTTCTACGGTTTTAAGTTTGTTCAGTTCCAGATTGTTCTGGTTACACCACGAGGCAAGTTGTATATCCTCCTGTCTGTATGCAGATTCATCATTGTCTCGAATGAGACCAGTCACTGTTGTGTCATCAGCAAACTTCAGTATTTTAACAGATGGATCGTTTGAGATGCAGTCATTGGTATATAGGGAGAAGAGAAGTGGAGATGTGCTGATTGTACAGGTATGGGATGTGATACATACATCATATAGGTTAAATACATAAGGGAAGCATCTAAAGCCGTGTCTGACTCCTTTGCTGACCTAGAGCCAGTTGAGGACAATGAGATATTCTTTGATTCCCATTTTTCTGAGCACATTGACATGATTGATTCCAATGAATCAATGAAACATATACTGACTTTTTCATATTCTTTGCTTTCTCAATTACTTTATTGCATAAGCAATAAAATCTTATCTTTTTCTAAACCCAGTTTAAACATTTGGCATCTCGTTTTCCATGCAGCGCTATAATCTGTGTTGGATGATCCTAAACATTATTTTTCAAGCTTGTGAAATCAAGAATATTCTATAATAGTTTGCACACTGTGCTAAATCTCAGTCTCTCTCTCCCTCACCCCCACTCTTGA